ATGTTAATTTCACTTACAAAGAATAAATAATTGCTGCAAAGAATCTATCATTAATTACAAGACCAATATTTTCTAATATTACATATCAGTTTTCACGTTTCCTTCCCTTTTCCCTCCATTCCATCTTAATCATGCTTTCACTAAATTCACTTGTGCCTCTCCCATCACCTCTAATATATATTCTGTTCATTTATCATCCTTTCTCATTTTATTTTAGTGCTTCATGAATACTTAATCAACCGCGAATCCTAAAGCAATCAAGGACAAATTCCTTTTTTGTATTTAGCTGATAAGATATATACGTATATGTCGTGCCGAATAGGAAAAATTTGGTCAATTAGCTAAAACTCGTTTAAAATTAAGCACTTTCTAAAATTTTCTTTTATACGTCTAAAGATATTTTTTTTTATTAATGTTAATTTTAAAAACTAATAGAAAACTTACCTAGCCTTATTATAACAGACTTAAATTTAGTATAGCTTAATCGAGCTAAATATATTTTAGATAAGTTTCCAATAATTTAATAATAAACAACACAATGAAATATATTTTTTTCGTTGGGTTTCAAAATGATTTTTGCAAAATTTAAACTGCATACACAAATTATCGCTTGCCTTATTCGGAAAAAAAGAGTGTTGCTATTTATGCCAAAATCTCAAGTTTTACCTTTCCCCAAACGACATATATTATATATATTTTATATATATATTTTATGCAAAACAACCACTCTGAAAGAAATAGAGAAATTCCAAGCGCTTTCGTGACTACTCACATTATCAAGGAACATAGTTCCTTGATAATGGAGTAGTCACGAAAGCGCTTGGAATTTCTCTATTCTTTCAGAGTGGTTTGTTTTGCTATTCTGAAATCACCTGTTTACTGTGATCTTATTGCATATATATAAATATTTATATATAAAATATATATATATAAAATATATATATATATATATATATATATTATATTATATATTATATAAATATATATATATTATATTATATATTATTAAGTAGTCAAAAAAGCGGCTGGGGGAGGAACTTCCGGTAAAGGCTTGCGGCTGGGCGAGGAACTTCCGGTTTAGGGGCCTTCCTCTGGGCGGTGTATCCGGTTTGGGCCTTCCACTGAGCGAGGTATCCGGTCTAGGACCGCAGCTGGAGGGTCACCTTTTACACACCTAGGTTTACTTCCGGTTTTGACCATGACCTCCCCCTCGAGACTACCTCACCCTTGACCCCCCCAACCAATACCCCCACCCCCCACGACCCCCCCCCCTCCCGCGAACCCCACCATCGCGCCGCGCGCCCCCCGCGCGCCGCGCCCGCGCGCCCCGCCCGCGCCCCGCCCGCGCGCCCGCCCGCCGCCCGCCCCGCGCGCCCTTCGCGACCCCGCCCGCGCCTTCTGCTCCCGCCTTCTGCAGCGTCATCCGGATCGCCCCCGCGCCTCGAATTTTTTTTCTTATGATCTCCTGGATCAAGGTTTTGAATCCCCCTATGGGTTTTCGAAATTCTCCATCTCCTTGGATCAGGTTTTGCATTCCCCCTATGGGGTTTTCGAAATTCCTCGGATCAAGTTTTTGGAATCCCCCCTTAGGGTTTTTGGGAAAATTTCTCCTCTCCTTGGATCAAGTTTTTTTTTGGATTCCCCCCTATGGGGTTTTCGAAATTCTCCATCTCCCTCGGATAAAGGGTTTTGGATTACCCCTCCCATTTTCACCCACCCCCCAAAAAATTTCTCGAAATCAAAGTCTCCATCTCCTCAGATCAAATTTTTTGGATCCCCCTATGGGGGTTTCGAAAGTCTCCATCTCCTTGGATCAAGTTTTTTGGGTACCCCTCCTTTCACCCCCCATCCCCCCAAAATTTTTCTAAATATCAAAGTCTCCACTTCCTCGGATCCCCCAACCCCAAAAAATTTCTCGACAATACCATGACTCCATCTCCTCGGATCAAGTTTTTTTTGGATCCCCCCTATGGGGTTTTCGAAATTCTCCATCTCCTCGGATCAAATTTTCTCGACAATACCATGACTCCATCTCCTCGGATCAAGTTTTTTGGATCCCCCCTATGGGGTTTTCGAAATTCTCCAATTCCTCGGATCAAATTTTTTTGGAATCCCCCCTCTGGGGGTAAGCATTCAAATGAACTCCTCCTATGGGGGCATGCTTACCACAGGCTAATGAAGGGTGTTTTACTCGGCGGTCAGTGACGTCACGTGTTGACCCAGCACACAGGTTGAATCTTGTCTACCCTTTTACCCACCCTCCCAAACCCTCACACTCCAACCAACACCTCACAATTTTCACTCATAACCCCCAATTTTTCTCGTTTTAACCCTTTTTTAGTTCTTTAAAAGTTAAAAAGGGGAACACATGCATCAGAAAGTCCCCATCGCTTACATCCACTTTCGTTAAATTCACTACTCACAATTTTACATATTAGAAAGTTAAATACGCACTTTTACTTTGAAATCTTAAAAACACTCTTGAACACCTTCAAAAATACCTTTATAACATTTCCCAAACAACACTGAAACACTCCAAAAACATCATTCGAAACCCCCAAATCACCTCTGAATACTCCCCCAAAACACCTTTGAACACCTTTGAACATTTCCAAACACTATTTAGTACTCCCAAATAAGAATTTGACATCTCTATTTTATCTGCACTTACACATTTCATTAAATTACAACTAAATCCCTCAGTCTCCAGACTAGGCATTTTCTCGTTTTTACCCTTTTAGTTCATTAAGTTATTAAGGGGACACAATACATCAGAAAAAAGTCACAAAAACTAACTCAAACACTTTATTTTAAACACCCCCAAAGTACTCCTCAAAATCATTTTGAATCCCTCACATAAAACACCTTGAACACCTTCAAAACCCCTTTGAATATCGTTTTAACTAATTTCATACAACCCACTTATATCATCTTTTTTCGGTAACTCTAATTCGACTATACACAACCCTCATCAATTACCAACAAATTTTACTCTTTTTTAAACTAATGTCATCACTGTAACCAAGATTTTCACAAAAAAAAAAAAAACTCTATGACACCTAACACACACGCACACACACACCCCACAACACCCACAATTTTTCTCGTTTTAACCCTTTTAGTTCATTAAAGTTAATAAGGGGACACAGAAACATCAGAAAGTCCACAACAACAACATCCACAACCCACAATTTTTTCTCGTTTTAACCCTTTTAGTTCATTAAAGTTAATAAGGGGACACACTACATCAGAAAAAGTCCCAAAAACAACCCACTTATAACGTCTTTTCGGTATTCTCTAGTTCGACAAAAACACCCACATCCCACAACACCCATGAACATTTCCAAAACACATTTGAGTACTCCCAATTACACCCTGATTACTACTAAAACACCACTGAATTTCAATCAAAAAAACCCTTCAACACCTTCAAACACCCTTGAACACCTTCAAAAAAATCTTGAACCCCTTCAAAAACCCCTTTTGAACATTTCCAATCAACACTGAAACACTTCAAAAAAACACAATTTGAGTACCCCCAAATTTAAACACCACTGAATACTACTAAAACACCCTGAATTCAATCAAAACACCCTTCAACACCTTCAAAACCACCTTTAAAAACCCCTTTCAAAAACACCTTTGACACCTTCAAAACACCCTTTGAACATTTCCAATCAACACTGAAACACTTCCAAAAAACACAATTTGAGTACTCCCAATTACACCACTGAATACTACCTAAAACAACCGCTGAATTAATCAAAACACCCTTCAAAAAAAACCTCAAAACACCTTTGAACACACTCAAAAACCCACCTTTGAATAACCTCAAAACACCTTTGAAAAATTTCAAAACACCCTTAACACCCTTGATCACCTTCAAAAAAACAACATTTGAACACACTCCAAAACACCTTTGAACACCTTTGAACATTTCCAAACAACACTGAAAACACTTCCAAAAACACCATTTGATACTCCCAAATACACCACTGAATACTAAAACACCACTGAATACACTAAAAAACACCCCCAAAAATCACCATAAACTAAGATCAACACCCACTTTCCACAACACGCCACAACCCACAACACCCACAATTTTTTCTCGTTTTATCTAATTTAAATCGAAAGTCACAACCCCCCACACCTCCCCATTTTTTTTCTCGTTTTAACCCTTTTAGTTCATTAAAGTTATAAAGGGGTCACACTACATCAGAAAAAGTCACAAAAACAACCCACTTATAACGTCTTTTCGGTATCTCTAGTTCGACAACAACACCCACATCCCACATCACCCACATCCCACATCCCACACACACACACAGACACACACACACACACACATCCCTAACCTAGCCAAACCTAACCTAACTTATCCTAACAAAAACCTAACCTAACCTAACCTAACCTAACCTAACCTAACCTAAACCTAACCTAACTTATCCTAACCTAGCCTAACCTAACCTAACCTTACTAACTTATCCTAACCTAACCTAACCTAGCCATAACCTAACCTAACCTAACCCAACCTAACTTATCCTAACCTAGCCTAACCTAACCTAACCTAACCTTACCTAACTTATCCTAACTAACCTAACCTAGCCTAACCTAACCTAACTTAACCTAACCTAACCTAACCTAACCGAACCTACCCTAACCTAACCTTACCTAACATAACCTAACCTGGGCCAAACCTAACCTAACCTAACTTAACTAAACCCAACCTAACCTAACCTAACCTAGCTTAACCTAACTTATCCTAACCTAGCCAAAACCTAAACCTAACCAACCTTACCTAACTTATCCTAACCTTAACCTAACCTAGCCCTAACCTAACCTAACCTAACCTAACCTAACTTATCCTAACCTAGCCTAACCTAACCTAACCTAAACCTTACCTAACTTATCCTAACCTAACCTAACCTAGCCTAACCTAACCTAACTTAACCTAACCTAACCTAACCTAACCGAAACCTACCCTAACCTAACCTTAC